CTTCGACCACGTCATAAAAGGCATCTTGCTAGGCATACAAATTTAAGATCCGATCATTAATATATGAAACGCTTCTTCGACCACGTCATAAAAGGCATCTTGCTAGGCATACAAATTTAAGATCCGATCATTAATATATGAAACGCTTCTTCGACCACGTCATAAAAAGCATCTTGCTAGGCATACAAATTTAAGATCCGATTGAAGTTCTAAGCAAATACGATAAAACCAGAGAAAGAATAGTTCAGCCTTGTTATAGTAAATTACTGTGTCAACGGTTTCTGAAAACTATGTTATCCCACAAAAGATCGTTAAGTCTTTTGTTTGTTTGTTTTTCATTTTGTTCTTTATTATTAAGCATAAACCTACATAAAGGGCTATCTGTGCTCTGCCTATCATGGGTATCGAAACCCGGTTTCTAGTAGTATAACTCCACAGACATACCGCTGCGCCACTGGAGGGCATTCTTCATGTTATTAAGTACAAGGCTACACGTGTTGGGCTATCTGTACTCTACTCATCGAAACTCAATTTTTAGCGTTAGAAGCCTTCAGACTTACTACTGAGCCACCGGGTGGGTCACAGTTTTAAGTAAATATCCTGATTTACTCAGGTGATATTTTTTGGAGAATCAAAATTTCTGCAACAGTTCTAAGACAGAGGGGAATTTTATTTCATTATCGTAAAGAATTTTAATTATTCTTTAAAAATATTCCTTCAATATGATACAAGTTAACGCTGTCTACATTCAAATCGAAGCTTTAATGGATATTTTGTGCTCAAGCGAGCATGTAGGTTTTTTAAATAAAACACAATAATACAAATAATACAAATTAATAAAAAAAACAATTCTTTACGCTAATTTATCAGCTACAAGACTATTTATTTGATTTCAAATAAAACTTTTTAACTTGTAAACAACCTCACATTTGAATATTTTTTTATGTTGTTGAACTAAGAAAGAAATTTCAATTACTTAGTACTATGTATATAACAAGTGGTACAGCGGTACGTCTGCGGACTTACAACGCTAAAATCCGAGTCTCGATACCCGTGGTGGGCAGAGCACAGATAGCCCATTGTGTAGCTTTGTGCTTAATTCCAAACAAACATAACAGGAGGGTTCCTTCTACAAAATAAAAACTCCTCATTTGTTATAAATACGAAAATATCGAGAAAGTATCTCGCATTTCAATTATCCTTGTTGAAAAAATAACGACAGAAACAAACAATGCCATACTATTCCCACTACACGACAAACGGGCAATTTCTACCAGTGTGTTTGCACACTCTCAACTGTTTTATCTTTCTGTAAAACTTTGGGAATCAATAATAGAATCTTGCGCGATACGCTTTGAAAATGAAACAATAATGTAATTAGAAATAACCTTTTCTATTATGAATGGCATTGGTTTTTGTCCAAGAAAAAAATGAATTTATCTGTATACAAGTAATAGATTTCAAGCCAACTGCAAAACAGAAAAGCGCTCGTTCAGAAGAAAAACACTATAATAAGTATTGTAAAATCCATTTGGAATATCGGAAAAAAAAGTGCTAACCAAGAGTGGACTTCATATCATTCTACCTATATTCATTCTAAAAGTGTGTTTGTTAAATAAGGCCACTCGAAACATCTGCTTACAACCATACTACGGCGAAAACGCTTCACTAATGTTTTACCAAATGTGATCAACTTGAACTAAGTTTAAGCTCTGAAGTTTGTGATAAATATCACGTTAGCTGCCGATGTCTTTTGTGTGTTTGTGCATTCCCCCTAATTTGTCTATTGGGGATTCACTGCAAAACATCTGCCGTTAAGGTGATTTTTATCACACATTTTAGGCCTATTTGATACTAATGTTTCGCTAGCTTACTTAAGTTACTTTCAGCCTTCGATTAAAATCAAAACTAAAACAGAGTAGAAGAGCGGGAAATAAGCTCCTGCTTACGCAATAAGCAGCAACTTTAGTACTTGAATACATTCTTATCGTATCATTGGCCAAGTAATGAGTTTTAAATCCCAAAAGACTCGGAGGTTATCGTGACGGTTATACACACTTAGTAGAAAGGCTCTAAATGTGCTGATGTCCTGCAGTTCATGGAAGGAAATAATGCAACCCGGTTCTAAAACAAAATCAAAAATATAAGGAAACAGTAAGTACGATTTTTATATTTTCGTACTACGGAGATACCCTTTAATAAACTAAAGAAACAAATATCAACTCACAGTATATATACATGTCTATGTATCCTTATATATACAGTAACGAAACCTGTTTTTCAGAAGACAAAATCATTTTCATTGGTTGTTTTGTTTTAAAGCGTAAAGCAGCACAATGTAACTAGCTCCGGTATCGAACTCCGAATTTTAACGTTTCAAGCCTTCAATCTTTAGAATCGCTGAGGTACTTTTCCGTTATACCCCCGCAAATTGACGTTAATTTATATAATAAAATAATAATATATATGACGTTTATATAA